CCCGCGGCGGCTGGCAAACTGCTTCGGCGGGACGGGGGAGGCAGCCCCCAGGTCTCCAGGGGCTGAAGGCGGCTCCTTGGCCAGGCGCAGGGCTCTCACGACAGCCAAAATCCCACGGTAAATCCTGGCAAGCCCCTCTCCGAGCAGCGGGGGGTTAAAGGAGCGCGGCTCTCTTCGCCAATTCATCCATCCATCTTCCTTACCTGCCGGCAGAGGCGTCACCCATGCTGAGGCCACAGCCCGGGCTCCTAGCAGGATGCGGCCATCATGTCCTTCCCGGGAGAGCAGCGGCACCAGAGGCACCGGAGCCCAACCATGCTTTGGGTGATGCCCTTCAGGACCGGTGCTACCCGAGTAGCAGCTCTCCACCAGCTCCCTGCTCCCTCGCCGGGAGATGGGGAGGGGAGAGGCCCCCAAAAACCTGCCCCGTGCTGCAGGCACTGCCCCGTGAGAGCCACACCAGGTCAGAGCGGCTTCAGTGTTGGTGGCATGGTCCGCTCGGATCCCCCCCGCCAGCAGCTTGGCAGGGCTTTATCATAAAGAGGATCTTTCAAACACAGTTTATTACTGCAGTTTCATAAATCTTCATGAGGCAGCAAGGCTCACGTGGGCCGTGAAAGCAATGGCAGTTAGCGGAGCATGAAAAATAGTCCAAGAAAGCAATTGTACAAAAAGGGGCGAGGGGAGAGAGTACATCTGAGGAGAAAGGGAGGCAAAAGAATAGAAGCCCCTCGGAGCGATGCGGCTCCCCCGCACCCGGCCATTAAGGCAGCGGGAAGAGCGGGATGCACTCGCCTTCCTCCCAAAGGCTGAGGCTGCCACACTGCCAGCCCGCTGCCTGCACAGCACCCGAGGAGGCTGCCCAGCACCCAGAGCCCTGCTCGGCGCTAACCCCTTCCCTGCCACGCTGCTGCCAGGCCCCGGGGGACAGGAGCGATAGCTGGGAAGGGCAGGGAGAGCCTGCACAGCTCCTGCTCCAGCTGCACTTAACTCCTGTTGTGCTGCGCAGCCGACCTCGGGGGGGACCCCAGAAATATCCCCCCCTGCCCAACCCAGGACCTGCTTGGGGTAAAGGGACCTGCAGAGGCATTGCTGCCCCGGGGGGGGGGGTCCCTGTCTCTGGCTCAGCCACGCTCTATTTGAACTCATGTCAGGATGGGGGCAGGGTGGTTAAGTGCCCTCCGGGTCCAGCCCCAGGCTCCCATCTCACCCCCATGAGGGGACCAGCAAACACAGACCAAAAAGTGCTGGGAGCTGCACAGCTGCTGGTGTTCTCCTGCCGAAGCTGTGCCCGGTCAACATGCTGGGGGGGGAGGACACA